AAGACAGAATTTTTCAATAAAACTTCGGGAACTTCGGAAAATCGTTCTGCTACTTGTCGCATGAGATTGATATGGAGGAAGTGAACGCTGTCAAGTGTTCCGCGAACTTTTACCACGACTCGATACAATCGATATAACTGAGAACAGCAGAAATCAGCATTGCGGATCCAACCGGCAGGCAAGCCCTCTCATCATAGAACTCCTCAGATACTCAGGAAAACACTGATCATTGGATGTGACCTTGATTTCCCTGACGTGATCGATTGCTTTTCGAGCATAAACATGGAATGACCGTGGATCGCTTCGAGGTCCGGACGATATTCGAGTGGTTCAAACCTTTCGTCGGTGACGATCAAGGTTCTTTGCCGCAGGTACAGCATTCCGCACTCAAAAGTGGAACACCAGCCCTGTAATTCTCGTTTAATCTGCGTCTCTCAACCGTCAGCTGTCTTCTTCGGAAAGGAAAATTATCCGTACACGCCAAGTTGGTTGGAGCCCTGACATGACGAACAGCAGGCTTGAGACTTACCCAATTTTCAATTTTGAGACTTTTCTACAACGATGCTAGCACTGAGCGATTGCGTGGTAAAAGCGGCGAAGGTGCTTATCAATATTGAGACCTGTTCACTTGAGTAGAAGTGGTCACATAGAACCTTCGGAACCAACCACCAGCCGCACAATGGGAGACAGCTCTTCACTAAACGGAGCGCATACGTCCGTATGGGTCGCTTTCAGTTCCGGAGAGTTCAGTTCGGAACTTTTTGCTGCTCAAGAACAGATGAAATTCCCTGTAGCTACTGTATTGGAGAAGAATTGCATGATCATTGCATTTCTAACAAGGTTCTAGACAGAGACTTCAGTGGTAACCAATTCGCCTTGTGCTGACCGCAATATTTCCCTAGAAACATCAGTAAGTATTTTGGTACAACATAGTCAGGAATGTTTGCTGCAACTCACCGAATATTGCAATTCTGCTAGCCAAGTCTTCTTTCTGATCTTCACCAACCACATTCTTCATGGGCTGTTCGTACAGAACGCTAAGGTTTTTTGCCGGTATCGTATTGGACACAATCATTGTACTTCCATGAAGATCTCCAATTTCATTCACGAAATCATTTATGTCCGGATCTCCCCTTAAAAGAGCTATACTTCTCCAATAGATTCATACCGAGTATGTGAAGGAGCGTTCATGATCCGCTCAGTTTTGACTTGGAGGCAGCGCCCGCGTTCACTCGATGTTTCCATGCCTTCTCTGGATATCCTACCCTTCGTACAAGGGGGGATGTACCAATTTCGCAGCTCAAAAATACAACAAGAAAGCACGCTCGCTCGTGTAGAGGCTGCCGCTCCGCCCACTGCCCACCTAAGGCGGGCGGGCGGCTAACTCTTCAAGAGCGAGGGTGCTATGTCCTTGTATTTAGGCAGCGAAATTTGTGAATCCTCTATTTGTACGAAGGAGTACGATATCCAAAGAAGACGTGGGAACATCAAATCGACGCAGCTCTGCTTTAAACGTGGGCGCGGAGCGCGTACGAATGGGAACATAAAAGCAGTCGGCACGATGAATTCCTAAGA